CAGGAGCCCCCATCCAATGTTCTCCCCATCAGAGGACTTGCAGGAAAATGAGGATGTGTGGAGGTGACATGATCCCCCCTTCCAGCCCACACACAGTGCTGGGACCCCCTTCTCTCATAATAAGAAAACATTATTACCTCCTCCTCCCTGGGCACACATTCACACAACCACCAGGAGGATTCTCACACTGCTGCAACTTCTGCCCCCATCAGGACTACAACAAAATGGCCGCCGACCCAGTTACAAGAACCGTTTGAGCTACGAAAAAATGGGCGAAAACCTTGCACAAGGGATTGTTCTTATGGTATAACTCGGCTCTAGAGTTTGTTCTAGAAAAGCCCTTCCTTGTATGAAGAGCCTAACTGCTGGGAAAGGGACGAAGCATCAACTTCCGGTCTGTGGCTCCGTTCTGCGTTCCACGGTAGGCCCGCTACTTCCGTGTTGCTGTAGTTACGCGCGTGCGCACCATGAGGGAACTGGGCTATTAAGGGCCATTTTCTTGTAGCTCAGGTCAGAAACCCAGAATATTTACTGAATTAATTTCTTATAAGTGTGGGTGTGGAGAGTGTGAGCCCAGTGAGGAGGAGGTAATAATGTCTTCTTACTATGAGAGAAGGGGGTCCCAGCACTGTGTGTGGACTGGATGGGGGGATCATGTTACCTCCACACATCCTCATCTTCATGCAACTCCTCTGATGGGGGGAACATTGGATGGGGGGTGCTCTGCTGATGGTACTGGGGACATATTCTCCAGTAAGGTGCTACCCATGTTTTTCGTTGCATCAATGTGGGGTCAGATCGAATTTAAATACGAATTTCTTCATTTTTTTGTGAAGGGCCCTATAGCTAATAATTACTGCTTGGACAATCGCCTGAATTCTGAAGTCACAATGGACTTTACTAGAAGCTCCTTTACCTTCAAACCAAAAAATTTAATATATTCTAGTCTACCAATGATCGCATGTGGCGGCCGCATTTGTTTTCTTTTTATTTCCCGTATTTTCACCGGTGACACACCTCGTGGAGTCCTGGGGTGGCTACATTCACTCCTCCACCACATCTATGGAGGAGCAACAGCGTTGTTGTCCATCAGCATTGTCCATGACTGGGGAGGGTGATGTTAGATGGGCTGGTAGATTTAGATGACCATTGTAAGCACCCCCTTCAGTGGTAAATGGATTGTCTCAACCCTCTAACTGCCACTTTTGCCAGACAGTTTGGTTTGTTAACCTCTTCACTCCGGCTGACCGCAAATGTGCGGCCTGGGCCTAGACGCCGAGCGGCTGCACATTTGTGTTCTATTAAAAAAGGACATATGTGCCGAGAGAGTGCGCCCTGCGCGCTCCCAGCACACATGTCAAGTACTTACGGAAAGGTCCCAATCTCCTCTTTCAATCGGAACCTTTCCTGATCATCTGACCGCCGTGACCGTGCGTCACAGCGGTCACATGAGCCTAAACCCCACCTCCCGGCTTCTGAAACTCTTAAAGGGCCGGTAGGCGCCGGCGTGAAGGGGTTAAAGGAAGTTGAAAAATAACAGACTTACTGGCCAGATATGTTACAGGGCGGGGGCTGCGATACTCCCACTGACAGACTGTATCATATACTGTAGGTCATTTTGATTTCGGCCATTGTTACACTTCAAGACGCTGATGCGGTGCGGGAAACTCTGCGAATCCTGTATGTTTTCCGCACACAGCATTGCAATCGTATGGTTTGAGTGTCATTGTTAAATCAATGACTCCCTGAAACATATCGCGAAAACGCAATGCGATTGCCAGAAATCGCATCGCATGGGTGAAAACACCCATGCAATGCGATTCAGGTACAGGTAAAAAAAGGGTCTGCACCTTTTTGGTGCAAAATGTATGTCTCAAATCGCACCGCACAGACATTGCATGTAATTTGCACAGGAATGCAGTGCGATCCCTGTGCGAATTACCTGCGGTGTCCTGCACCACGTTAGTGTGAACCCAGGCTGAAGGATCAGTTCACCTTTATGGAAAAAATAATAAATGCATATATTTTTTGCAGACTTATTATTTTTTTCCTGCAGGAGCCTGGAAAGCATTGCACCCAGGATTGGTAGATCTTGGGTGCAATGTGGGCCCCTGCAGAAATGTCCTCCAGCTTTCAGCCTGTACCTCTGTATATGGGCATTCTGTTTGTAAGCCGGAGGCCATGTCAATGGACTACAGCACGGGTGTCAAACTGGCGGCCCTCCAGCTGTTGCCAAACTACAAGTCCCATGGCATTGCAAGATTGACAGTTACAAGCATGACTGCCAAAGCTGGAGGCATGATGGGACTTGTAGTTTTGCAACAGCTGGAGGGCCGCTAGTTTGACACCCGTGGGCTACAGGAATGCTCAACAGCGCCCCCACAGACCATTGAAACTACAGGTCCGTCTGCTGCAGTGGAAGATGGTACTTGTAGTTTGTTATTTCACAGGAAACTGAAAGAATGATGTGGTTATGTGGGAGGAGCCCCGCACAGCCGCGGCCTTTTTCAAAAAGTGACAGCGGGTGTGGGGACAGCCTGCTGTACGGCCCACCTCTGGCCTATAGATGGGGGTTCTCCTGACACCCCAATAGGAGCTGACCTGACTCCTGGAACTGAGACCTCTGTCTCTTGGCTTCCGGCTTGGACCTCTGAGCCCTCCAGACCTTCCGTCTCCCACACTGGGAGTGGTCTCTAACTGGGAGCCCTGAGCTATTCTCAGACCTGAGTATATAACGACAACCCACACCTGTGTACTCCAGATTGCAGGTGTCTAGCAAAACCCAGATTAAATGTTCCGATCCAGAGCTGCAGAATACAGAGAACACCAAATCCATAGCTTTCTCTGCCCAGAAACATTAGTCTGGAACGTCGCATTCACGCTAAATGTGAATTCTGTGTCACATTTTCCTATCTCCTCACAGTGGCAGCATCTCGTCCTGTCACAACATGTATGGTTGTTATGCTTTATTATTTAATCATATTTTTTCTGTATTGTAAGGAAAATAGAAAATTATGATCGGTACTCACCTTATACTGGTACCAACAAAGTGTGCTGATGAAGTGGAACGTTTTACATCTGATCCAACTTTACACTGTTTTTAGGAATTTAGAAGGACACAAGGATCTCCACAAGGACGTCATGATGGAGAACCGGCCGCTCCTCACATCACCGGGTAAGAGGAGACTTTAATTTCTTGTGTTGAGGATCCACCTAGATACACACATCCTCTGATATAAAGATATAGTATGTGAGGTTCCTATAAGGTGTCAGGATGTCACTGTCTATTTCTCCATGGTGGAGTGGGAGTATATAGAAGGACACAAGGATCTGTAGAAGGACGTCATGATGGAGGACCGGCCACCCCTCACATCGCCCGGTAAGAGGAAACTTTCATTTCTTGTATTGAGGATCCACCTAGATACACACATCTTCTGATAGAAAAACATAGAAACAATAGAGGAGTGGGAGTATATAGAAGGACACAAGGATCTGTTGAAGGATATTTTGATGGAGAACCGGCCACCCCTCACATCACCGGGTAAAAGGAGACTTTAATTTCTTGTATTGAGGATCCACCTAGATACACACATCCTCTGATATAAGGACATAGTATGTGAGGTTCCTGTAAGGTGTCAGGATGTCACTGTCTATTTCTCCATGGAGGAGTGGGAGTATATAGAAGGACACAAGGATCTCTACAAGGACGTCATGATGGAGGACCGGCCACCTCTCACATCACCGGGTAAGAGGAGACTTTAATTTCTTGTATTGAGGATCCACCTAGATACACACATCCTCTGATAGAAAGACATAGAAACAATGGATTCAGTCAGTGTGTGTGTTTCCTACAGATGGATCAAGTAATGGGAACCCACCAGGGAGATGTCCCCGTCCTCTGTATTCCCAGGACTCCACACAGGAACATCAGGAGATCCCTCAAGAGGACCAGGTAGATGACTACAAAGAGTATATAATGAAAGTATACCATTGAGATATAACAAGAGAAAACGTTAGGTGTTTCATCTATTTCTATGTTTCTAGAAGTATCCAGTTTGTGTTTGTTTTACTCAGGATGACAATTTTATAAAAGTTGAAGTAAAAAAAGAAGATGAAGAAGAAGAGACAAATATGAGGGGGGAAGAGCCATGTAAGGAAGAGGCAGTTCCTCCAGGTAAGTAATACATGTTAAATCCAAAAAAAGAGTCCCGGATCCTCCTTGTTCAGTCACTACAACAATCTCTTCTTCTCCCCCCTCCTCTGTCAGTAGACAGTAATTGGGGGACAGTATGTGCCCAGTGGGGGGGTCAAGAGCCATCAGCCTCTATTAGACTCCGACTCTCCTCCTCACATCATGTCATTGAGATGTGACCAGTCTCCCCCCACACACACTCTCTGGGGTCTCTCATACATCTCAGTACAGGGGGCTTCACTCTCATCTTTATTCACAGACACCAGAGAGACTCAGAGAGTTGTCAAACCTGAGGAGGAGGAGGAAGAAGGATGTGTGATGATTAAAGAAGAGCAAAGTGCTATACAGATCAGCACAGGTAAATAAAAATAAATAAGGAAAGTATTAATTTATTGCTTGAATATCATGTGCCATGACTAGATGGATTATGTTCTTGGAGTATCATTTGACAGAACTGGTGGAGGTAAAGTCGCTTGTAAATTCTGGATCCATAAAATGAACCTTTTTCTTTTCTCTGCAGATGGACGTTGTAGAAGGTACAACACAGAGAAGCATTCCATTGTCTCTTCAGATGGCCAAAGGAAAGATAATAACATCACATCAGATTCACCCCAAGAAAACGCCATTACCCCGAGTCTCCATGTGGAACTCCAAAATTCAGGTCCGCCGTCTACTCCCTCTACACATGGAAGGTGTTCCCCTAAACATTCAGCTCCTGTTGGCCATCACACAGTTCGTGGTGGTGGGGAAACCTCATGTTCTGAGTGCGGGAAAAGCTTCCCAAGAAAATCTGAACTTGCCAAACACGAAAGAGTTCACACCGGGGTAAAGCCCTATTGGTGTTCAGATTGTGGGAAATGTTTTACCCAAAAGGGCAATCTTGTTATGCATCAAAGACTCCACACGGGTGAGAAGCCATATTCCTGCTCCAAATGTGGAAAATGTTTTGCCGAAAAAGGTCCACTGATCCGACATCAAAAGTCTCACACCGGAGAGAAGCCATACTCCTGTTCTGAATTCGGGAGATGTTTTGCACTAAAGTCCACTCTTGTTAACCATCCGAGGACCCACACGGGAGAGAAGCCTTTTTCCTGTTCTGACTGCGGACGATGCTTCACTCAGAAAGTGGACTGCGTTAAACATGAAAGGACCCACAGGAAAGAGAAGCCATATTTATGCTGCCAGTGCGGGAAAGGTTTTGTGACCAAGTCATCGCTTATATACCATCAGATGACACACACAGGTCAGAAGCCTTTTTCCTGCCCGGAGTGTGGAAAATGCTTTGTCCTGAAAGCGGAACTGAAAAAACACGCCAGAGTTCACACTGGGGAGAAACCATATTCTTGCAGCCAGTGTGGAAAAAGCTTTCCAGATATAGCTGGTCTTGACCGCCACAAAATAATCCACATGGACCAGAAGCCTCATTCCTGTTCAGAGTGCGGGAAGGGCTTTGCAACAAAATCAGCTTTGGATTAACACTGAACGACACACACAGGTGAGAAGCCATATTCGTGCCTTCAGTGTGGAAAATGCTTTGCTCGAAGGGCCGACGTTAATAAGCACGAACGCGGTCACAGAGGAGACCGTCCGTATTCATGTTCTGAGTGTGGAAAAGGCTTCCCTGATAAAACCTGTTTGCACCGCTGCAAAACCATTCACACTTGTGAAAGAGACTATCTGTGTCTCTACTGCGGAGAAAGCTTTGCAAATTAAGTTCATTTAGACTGTCCTAAGATGATTCAAGCTGGGGAGAAGCCATATTCATGTCCCCAGTGTGGGAAAGACTTTGCCTGTAAAGCTTTTCTTCTCCGGCAAAAAAAATAACCCACACGGGAGAGAAGCCATACGCTTGTTCTGTTTGTGGTAGAACCTTCAGCCAGAAATCCAGTATGGCTCTTCACGAGAGAGCTCATGCTGGAGAGAAGCCATACTCGTGTCCTGTGTGCAGGAAGCTTTTCAACCAGAAATCCAACCTGGCCACTCATGAAAGGAGCCACACGGGGGAGAAGCCCTATTCGTGTCCTCAGTGCGGGAAAAGCTTTGCACAGAAATCCAATCTTGCTGAGCACGAGAGGATCCACACAGGGCTGAAGCCCTATATGTGTCCTGAGTGTGGAGAGTGTTTTGGCAGAAAATCTAAACTTATCATTCACCAACATTCTCACGTGGGAAATCCTGCTGGTCCACCAAGTGACATGTCTCAAGAGGAGCTTCTGGACACCCAAGATAAAGAACGTGTGGCATAATGATACTACACAGTTATGGCTCACCTTTTAACACACGGTGGTTGCTGTAGAGCAGTTTTTCTCAGATAGGGATGCCAGAAGGTTCTTGGCCATCTTTCCACCTCTTTTGAAAGTATTGGAGTCATTGACTTATGGACAGAGGGCCGTATTTGCAATTACGTATCATTAGTCTTGCAAGGACTAAACATGGCTATGCTCACCATAAAAACAATAATCAAAGATACCTTAAAGGATAGGAGAGTTATCACCTTCATACCACTGGCTGGACATCTTGGTGTAAGGTGTCCATCCTTCAACATCCAAGCCAAGCACATAACTCCATTGCTAAGTGGAAGAAAAAAATCCCAAACGTTGCATACTAGCAAAATCCCTAGTATCAAACAAATGAAAGCGGCTTCAGCCCAGCTCCATCCAAGCCCCACCCCACCGAACGCGTTTCACCCCACCCACAGGGTTTAGTCATGGAGGTGGGGATCCTGTGTAAGCATCCGAAAGCTTCTATGCTTACACCAAATCCCCACCTCCATGACTAAGCCTTGTGGGTGGGGGACGAAACGCGTTGGGCGGGGCCTGGATGGAGTGGGCTGAAGTCGCTTTCATTTGCTTGATCCCAGGGCGTTTTGGGCTTTTTCTGGATCAATACATTTTTATTAGCATCTACCAAAATGAAGCACACAATGAGGTACAATAAAAACAAAACTGGATTGCAGGAATACATAAAGAGAGGCTGGGGAACCCCGTTGCAGGCACCAAGAGTAGCCGGTAACAGAGCAGCCAAAGCTACTAGAGCCAGCGAGGACAATTGTAACAGAGGTGAGGAGATAGAAGTTCTTGCATTTGGGCTTTTTGCATCTGTTACATGTACATTGGGCCAGGACGGGCTCTTTCCACGTCGGCACCCTTCCAGTGGAGTAGGGACCTGGAGCAGCGCCAACAATTTCTTGCTTCATGGTTCCTTTGCTAAGCGAATTGATTGAGACCGAGGCATACACTATATCACTCTTTAGCAGTTACAAATTACTTTCAGGATCTGAGGCGGTAATCCATATAAACTCCTGTTTCAGTGCAATCAAAATGCTCCAAATGGAGAAACAAAGCAGACATTTTGTTGTTTCTTTACTCATTTTCTACGCTTTCTGTATTGGACTGAATCAAAAGAATTTATGCAGATTACTGCGCAGGATCCAGGAAATGTTTGAAGGGAAACAATTATGCTTTTGGGCCAATTTTATGTTAACTTCTTCGCACCTAAGAGTAAAACAAATGTTAATGCCTAAGCACAATTGTGCAACTTTGACGTGTGTTAGTAAAACTGTACATATCATCACAACTACTTTGTGCATCCAGGTGGTTTAAATCTTGTTTTTTTCAGGACAAATTGGGCTTTCATGTGGTGGTAAATGGTAATGGATATTTTCTGTTTTTTTGTTTTATTATCAAAAGAAACCTGGACCAAAATAGTAAGAAAAAATCATTTTTTTAAAATTTTGCTGTATATTTCTTGCTATTACCATAACCTACCACCAAAATCTGAATACCTTAACCTATATGCCTACCTTTCCACGCATATGACCTTTAATGGCCTCCCAGTCTTAGTCCGTAGGGTTCAATATTGAATTGGCCCCGCCCTTTGCAGCTATAACAGCTTCAACTCTTCTGGGAAGGCCGTCCACAAGGTTTAGGAGGGTGTCTATGGGAAGGTTTGACCATTCTTCCAGAAGCACATTTGTCAGGTCAGGCACTGATGTCGGGGGAGGAGGCCTGGCTCACAGTCTCCTCTCTAATTCATCCCAAAGGTGTTCTATCTCTCTATCAGGACTCTGCAGGCCAGTCAAGTTCCTCCACCCCAAACTGGCTACTCCATGTCTTTATGGACCTTCCTTTGTGCACTGGTGTGCAGTCATGTTGGAACAGGAAGGGGCCATCCCCAAACTCTTCCCACAAGTTGGGAGCATGAAATTGTCCAAAATGTCTTGGTATGCTGATGTCTTAAGAGTTCCCTTCACTGGAACTAGGGGGCCAAGTCCAACCCATGAAAAACAACCCCACACCATAATCCCCCCTCCACCAAACTTTACACTTGGCACAATGCAGTCAGGCAAGTACCGTTCTCCTGGCAATCACCAAACCCAGACATGTCTATCAGATTGCCAGACAGAGAAGCATGATTGGTCACTCCAGAGAACACATCTCCACTGCTCTAGAGTCCAGTGGCAGCGTGCTTTACACCATGGCATTCGACGCTTTGTATTGCACTTGGTGATGCAAGGCTTGGATGTAGCTGCTCGGCCATGGAAACCCATTCCATGAAGCTCTCTATGCACTGTTGTTGGGCTCATCTGAAGGCCACACCAAGTTTGGAGGTCTTTAGCTATTGACTCTGCAGACAGTTGGCGACTTCTGTGCACTCCTGGCAATCGCAGCAATACCACATATATGTATGTTAGTTGTTTGTACCCGTAGTACAGCCCTGAAACAATAGAGCGCACTTTTCTTCTTTTTTATCCTACATAAAATACACTGATACTAATTTTTTTTACAGAATTTAATTAAAAAAACCTGCCCCCCAAAAATACTGACCGACCGTGACCCAAGCAGTAACCCTGGCACTGACCAACTCATTTAACTGTGTGTCTAAATTTCTGCTTGAGCTTTTAAAGTGGTTCTAAAGGTAGAAACTTTTTTTCTTACCTTAATGCATTCTCTGTATTAAGGTAAAAAAAAAAAAACCTTCTTCATGCAGCTCCCCCCTCCCCCCATACTTACCTAAGCCTGATCTCGATCCAGTGATGTGAATGAGAACCAAGGCTTTCTTCCTCCTCATTGGCTCAGACACACCAGTGAGGTGGAATTGGGGGGTGAGCTCTGCTCTGTGTGTCAATGGACACACACAGCAGGGCTCAGGAGCGAGCATGCACTGGTGCACCCATAGCAAGCAGCCTTCTATGGAGGCACTTGGGGGGAGGGGGAGAGGAAGAGAAGTCAAGAGTGCCTGCGGGGGACCCGAGAAGAGGCGGATCGGGGCTGCTCTGTGCAAAACCATTACACACGGGTAGGTAAGTGTAACCTTTAATATCATTTTAAAAAAAACAAAACGTTGCACGGGTGTCAAACTGGCGGCCCTCCAGCTGTGGCCAAAATACAATTCCCATGAGGCATTGCAAGATTGACAATTACAAGCATGACTCCCAAAGGCAGAGGCATGATGGGACTTGTAGTTTGGCAACAGCTGGAGGGCCACCAGTTTGACACCCCTGCTTTAGAGGGAAACTGGGATACATCTGTTAAGAAACCTTTAGCTCCACCTGCTGGTGGGATTGAAGAAGGCATACAATATATATATATTTTACATTTTTAATTTGTTGCACTTGATATGGGAACATGCTTTATATCCTGATGATGAGTAAACATTATGCAGGATGGGGGTTTGTGTGCATAGAATGAGGTTCTAGAATGTCCTCAGTTCCTGGAATGGATGATTGCCACTGTGTAAGGGGGGGGGGGGCAAATTGGGAAATTTTGTGGAGTGCTTTTCAACATGAGCTTTTAAAGTGGAAAAGAACCAAGAAGCTTTGAGTCGGAAAAGAGACAAGAACCTGAGCCATCCACGGACATTGTAAAATCAGTAAGAAGCAGAGCAAAGAACATGGATAGCACAGTGGCTACGTGGTTAGCACTTCCACCTGGGGCATTGGTTCAAATCCCAACCAAGGCACCACCTGCCTGAAGTTTGCATGTTCTCCCTGTGCCTGCGTGGGTTTCCTCCGGGTATTCCGGTTTCCTCCGACACCCCAAAGACATGCTGCTAGGGTAATTGGCTCCTGTCTAAATTGTCCCTAGTATGCGTATGTATGAATGGGAGTTAGGGACCTTAGATTGTACGCTCCTTGAGGGCGGGGACTGATGTGAATGTACAATATATCTAAAGCACTGCATAAAATTGACAGCGCTATATACTGTATGTGGATGTACCTATAATAAAATAAAAACCATATGTCTCTCTATGTCCCGTCTGATCAGTGTTTATAAACAATGATACTTTGTAGGATTTATAACTTTTTTTTTTCTATGGTCCCTGCAGGAACAAATTGGATCATGCTCTCCTAGACTCCTAGCTCCCAGGATCAGGCCCTCCTATGCCTCTTGTATTGGACTGTATTGTTACTGTATTGTCTCCCGTTATATTGTAAAGTGCTGAGCAAACTGTTGGCGCTATATAAATCCTGTATA